AGCGTGCAGTGTAGACGTAAAGCCCAGGAGAGCCTGTACAGGCAGTCCCCAAGCTACGAGGATCTGACTTATGACGGATCCGCAGTTACGAACGGGGTTTGCTGCCCATCTCCCTGGTCTGCTGGAGACCAGCAGACCAGGGAGACAGGAAGCAAAGCCTCTGAGGACGCCGGCAGCGGGACAGCCGCGGCACATCTGGGCTGTCCGCTGCCCGCGTGCTCCACCGCTTTGCTTCCTCTCCCTGGTCTGCTGGAGACCAGGGAGACGGGCCCCGTTCGTAACTGCGGATCTGACGTAAGTCGGATCCATGTAACTCAGGGACTGCCTGTACTACCTTTCACTACTATGTAAATGGCCAGGTTGCAATCCAGATTTAATTCTGGATACAAATTCTATTCCATTATACTTTTATTAATCTACTAAACATATGTAGTAATAATTATTGGGTTCTGTGCTCCTAAAACTTAAAGCCTGCAAATTTGTAGATAAAATTAATAAGGCAATTATTTTATTATATGTAGCAGGTGTATTAGCCCTTAACATTTTTTAAATCGGTAAGATGATAATGTTTGAAAACTAATGTAACTTGTATGTGTATTCAGTTGAATTGGAAACTAATCCTAACACTCACTACAGGATAATTTATCTAACTGGCCTTGGTCTGCTCTGTTTTATCTGGTGTCCATTGCTGTGGTAGTTGAATGTCTCCTAAAAGTAAGAACAACCAGTGACAGATTTAATTTTCTAAAATTACTGTTTAATATGTAGATTAATAATACCATGAACAATGGCTCTCTGCTCTCGTACATTTAAAATGAGAAAAATATTTTTAACTTTCAATAAACACTACAGTTCTAAAAAATAAAACACATTGTACCCTGTAACATTTTGAAGCTTGCTTCCTTAAGCACTTTCAACAGGGATTTGGGACCTAACTACCTAAATGACTTTTAAAAATCCAGGCCTTAGGTCCTAATGCTTATATCTGCACGGACTCCTGTTGACTTTTCTGGATCTACCCAAATAGATCTGGATCTTAGACACTCTTGTGATGGATATGATAAAAGATCTTAAATAGACCTATGGACTATCAGAATCCAAATCTGGGAAGCTTCAGATTGTTTCGGGACTGTTGGTTTGCTGGTTTTAAATAACCATACACTTACCTTGTACAATGGTTATTATTGAATGATGTAGGATAGGCATGTTCTGTGAGAAGAGTGGAAGATTAATAATTTTTTAGTTAATGTTATTAGTGATGAATGTGCGATGGTTACAATAGTAAAGTACTCTTCTACCATGGTTTTGTGTGCTATACCCATTATTATAATTTAAAGTCTAATTTTAAATTGGACAAAGCCCAAAATCCAGCTTCAAAGTTCAGTAAGAAAAGTTTCCATTGCCTTATTGTGGTGATTGTTGTAGTTTGAGAGCAAGAAGAGGGGGACAGTGAGTTTAAAATATGAAACTCCAGGAGGAAGAGAATTTAGTTTCATAAGGATAAAATTATTTTAAATGTCTTTCAAGACTTTGGTCCAAGGGATATACATTGAGGCAGTTGTGTATGTTGCCATTTTCCCCATTTATTAAAAGAAAACATTTGCCAACAGGTATCTCACCTACTCTAAGCATAAAGGGAAAACAGATCTCAAATACCACTTAGTAGTAACTTATGCTAAATTCTGGTATTTTAAAGAAAACTGTCCCTTGCTCTGGAATGTTTACAATCTTCTAGGTTAAACCATATATAGATTATTACAACTTAAAGAGAGTGGTTGAAGTAGTTGAAGGTAATATAGACAATGTGATAACTTAATTATTCATGTACACATCTTAGTTCATGTCTCTTCTTTTTCTTACCACAGATGCATGTTAAGGCTTCAGTTTCTGTTTTGATATGCTATGTTTATTTCATCAAATCCATGGTGCATGCTTTTGCAGATCAATACATTCTTATTATATGTATCTGCTTGGAATTTTGTAGCTCTGGTTCTCAATCTCAGTTAGTACAGCTTTGGGTATTTACTACTTTAATAACTTTGCAGCTTATTACATCATGTTCCAGTGATGGAAAAAGATTTGTAAAAAATTATACACAGCCGTGGACACAAAAATAAAAAAATAAGATTAGATGCAGTCATATGTTTTGCTTAATCAAGCCTTTAAGGATTCTACCTTTTCAAAATGACATCACACTACGGAAGCCACTTCTGAAAATTTGGTTCCAACTGTGTGGCTTTAAGTAATTAGAAAACGAATAATACAGGTATAGTAATGGTGAGGTACTTTATGTGGTTATCCCTTCGATTTAAAATGGAATCTTCTTGTGTTTTCCACATTACTGACCCGTTTTACATGTGTTTTATTGTTAGGAGCAGCACAACTTCAAGTTCTAGAGGGAGTGGAAGTCATTGCAAACCTGAAGGCCAGGAAGAAGCTGTAAGAACACAAAGCTCAGAGCAGCCAACACCAGAAAATGAAGAAACAAGTAAGATACATCATTATTCCTGTAATAGCAAGGTCTCACTTCTACTCACAGCTATGATTGAACTCAGTGGGAGTTACACACATAGAAATGAGAGCAGAATGTAACATTAATAGAACAGTACTTTTGTCACTTATTTCCAAGAAGGCAAAATGAATAACCAAGCTCAAGGAGGCAACAAATTATTTACTTTACAAAACAAATTCTAGTTGTCAACTGAAGAGACATGTAGTGCTATATAAGAGAAAATAATGTTTTTCTTAATTCTGAAATTATTGTCTTTTGCTTCTTTGTGTTATGGGAGAGCAATGAACAGTTTTTATTGTGTCACTATGAGGAGGAGTTTCTTGAAAGCCAGAGTTTAAAAAATATTGCTGGGATAGAAAAGACTTGTTACCACCATGTTTATGCTGTATTTGAAT